TCTGGGGAGGATGGAGGAAGACACCCCCTCCCAGACCAGCCAGGGCCACATGCCGGCTGGGCACCCAGCTCCCCGCTGCGCTCTCGGTAAGGCACCGCTCACACCGGGGCCCTCTCCGCTCTGCTGCTCGGTGCCTAGCGAGCTTTGCCTTTGCGAGCTCTTGCTCCGAGGAGGCGTGTGCCACGTCTCACCTGAGACACGCAGGGGAGACCGCAGCTTCACCAGGGCAATGTCATTGTCCTTGGAAGACGCGGGCATCACCTCGGCCAGGAAAACCTTCTCCACAGCGAGGGTGGCGGTGCCCGAGAGGAGGTCGGAGCCGGCCTTCACGCGCCAGCTCTGAACGATGGGGTTGTTCCTGTCCACAGACACGTCTGTTATTGCTCCCCTGCATGGCTCTGCTGCGGGGACAGGCAGCAAAACCCTGCCTGCACGTTGCCCTGCAGCATCGGTCAGCTGCATTGCACCGAGGGGCACAAAGACCTGTGCGGACGTATTAATCACGGGACGTTTAAGCAACACCTGGCTTAAACCCAGAGGGTCTCAGCCTGGCCTCGAGCAGCAGAGCCAGCCCTGGCACGTCGGTGCCGGCCAGCGGGCATGCTGCAGCGGGGAGGTCGCCGACTCACTTGAAGCAGTGCGCTGCCGTCAGGACCCAGCTGGGGTCGATGATGCTGCCTCCGCAGATGTGCTCCTTGCGGTACTGCAGGCTGACCTGCCACGGCCAAGCCTCGATGGCGGCCGGACTGCCGCCCAGCACGCGTGGAGTCCGTACGCTCTCCCCGCAGTCTTCTGCCGGGCGGCGGAGCAGCGACAAAGCAAGGCGTTAACTGCGGCGGGGGGGAGAGAAGGAGCACCCCCTCTGCCCTCCTCTGTCCTCGGGGCTGAGCGGGGATGGAGGCTCCCGCACCTCCCAGCGAGGGCAGAGTGGCCCTGGTGCCTCACCCCCCCACCTCCGACGCTGCCTGTCACCCCTTTGTGGGCCACTTGCACACCCCCTTTTGTTCTCTGTTTGCACGTTGTCCCCAGGCTCGCTGAAAGGGGTTCATCTGTTCCTTGCCTTCTCCAGCCCACCGGGCAGATTAGTTTAACTGGGCTAATTCATCAGCAAAAGTAAACCCATCCAGGCAGCTGGTTAAGCCTGTCATTGGTGTTTCGTTTCAGGGAGGTTTCTACTGGCTTCACAAGAAGGTTAGCAGTAATTAAAGCCAGCTTTTCTCATGGAAACAGTACGGGAAGCGGCGAGGGCCAGGGCTTGGGCCAGAGCCGAGCTCTTGTGGCCGCAGCACAGCGCACGGGGCTGTGCCAGCAACGAGGCCCTGCGCACCCGCAAGATGCAAACAGCATCGTGATACTTACTGGAACAAAAGAGAGAGACAACCGATCCAGAGAGGCATTTCCTGGAAAAGGGAGGAAAAGGGCTGGATTTGGCAGAAGAGAGGCTCTGGCTGTGCGGCCAGGCTCCCACGCAGGGCGAGGGGCTCAGCGGCCACCTCCCGCACAGCCCCACCACTCACCTGCCCGGTTCGGGCAGCCGGAGGCTGCCGTTGCTCAGGCCGACCTCGCGGGGAGGCAGGGGCTGCCCTGCACCCACCTCTGCCGCCCGGAAAGTGGGGATGCTGAAAGACACGGGGAGGGGGGCACAGCTCAGCGAGCCCCCCCCGGGATGCGCAGTCCCAGGCACGCTACCCGCAGGGGACAGGTGCTGGGAGAGGACGGGCACTGGTGCCTGAGCACCTCCAGGAGCCCGGAGTCTTGGCTGGTTTGGCTCGGACTGAGCCAAAGATGGCATAACCCAGATCCAAAAAAAAGGACTGGAGCTTTACAACTGGGTCCTAAATGTTTGCCCATGCCCCCCACTAAGAGCCGGTGAAATAGGAAGGAAGCAGGAGCTTAGGGAGGGACTGTGGACCCTGCACCAGTAAGCAAGAGAAAGGCCCCATAGAAAAAGGGGGTTCCTTGGGTCAGGGACACAGGGATGCCAAAAGAGGGAAGGGCCACAGCCCTGAAGGGCCGGTGGCAGGATGGGGGAACTGGCCGCTGCGCTCAGGACCGGGGACAGGAGCACGGTAAAGGGAGGGAGGCGGCTCCCGACTATTCAGGGACTGCGGGCCGGCAGCGCCCAAGGGACCTCGGGGGTGTCCTGACATTTGGGGCCTGCACTCAAAGCCTCAATCCCTGACTTTCTGGAACTGGAAAATACCATCTTGGGCTCAGTCTAGGCTCCTGGAGGGGCTCAAACACCGGAACCCATCTTCTCCCTAGGATACCTCTAACTTAACTCAAACTCTCCCTTCACCCAGGGCTGACACCAAACACGCAGGGCTAGCAAGCTGTTTCCCCAAATCTGGGCTTTAACCAGCTTTAGTTGACTGCTGCCCTCCAAACTTGCCGCTAGCCCAGGGCAGCAGGCAAGGCGGACGCAGGTGGGTGACACGGAGATTCATCGCAGCTGCAACGACTCAGCCTTGCCCACAGCTGTGCATCACCCACCCACCCCAGCCAACCACTGCTCTCCTGGGGCTTTAAAAGGGGAGTGGAGGGCCCTGGCCCCCTCCTCAGGTGAGCCCCACCGGGGGTGAGAACCTGGGCTGGGCTCAGCACATCCCCGGGAGGGCTGCACCGGTGAGGTGAGTGCCCGCCGTCGGGAGCTGCGGGGCGGCCGTGCTGCGTGGGTGGCTGCGAGTAGGTGGGGGTGAGGCGAGGGGTAGGAGCAGGGCAGGGTACCCGTGGGCTAGGGACAGAGCAGGGGACACTGGGGACAGAACTGTGCTTACGTGGGAAGCTGCCAGGAGTTCTAGTACAGAGACCAGCCAGCTCCTAGGGATGCACAGAGCGCTCTGCCTGGTGGGGATGGGGTGGAGCCACTAGTGCAGAGCTCTGAATGCTTTATAAATAAACAGAGCCCTGCTCAAAAAGAGCTTTTATGGGAGAGGGATAGATAAAGCAGGTGAGAGAGGCGTGGGGAACGCAGTCATGTACCTCCTGTAGCCCATTTGCTCGCAGGCTGCTTTCGCAAGCACCAGGTTGAAGTGGTCGTGGCAGATGCAGGACCAGGCTCCGGTGTTTCTGTTAAGCACCTGCAGGATGGATCTGTCTTTGGAAACGCGGGCTGGAGACAGACACAAAGTCAGCTTTGTCACGGGTGACTTCGGCAGGTGGAGGCTTGCCACAGCAGCCCAGACCCTCCGGAGCTCTAGCAGGGTGTCCTAGACTCACCCCCAGCTGGTGGCCCCTCAGGGACCCACTGGGGACAGGTGGCCTCGTCCTCGCCCTGCAGACAGTCCATCTGCCCGTCACACACCTGCTGCAGCGGCACCAGCTTCAGGGGCTGCTTGCAGAAGAAGTAGTGGTAGTCCAGGTACACCTTGACTGGAGGGAAAGGGGAGCTCAGCGCTGAGCTCGCGCTGCTGGGCAGGCTCAGGGATTGCGCTTGGGGGCTCAGCGAGAAGGTGGGAGAGCCGGTCCCAGCTGAGCCCTGGGTCCAGAGCCGTGTTTGCCGAGCCGTGGCTGTGCGAGAGGAGGGGGGAGAGGAGAGCAGGAGCCGTACCCAGGAAGCCGACCATAGCCAGGCAGGCGAGGCTGAGCACCGCTGCCAGGACGGGGATGCCGATCCGCTTGAAGGACTCCAGCGCCGTGGTGGTTTTGCGTCGTGTGCTGGCGCCTGCAAGGCAGAGGAGTGTGGTCCCACGTCACCAGGCCCAGCCTGGCAGCGCTCGCACCCCCGGCTCCCACAGGTATTACCTCTGCCATTTGGCCGCTCGGAGGCTAAATCCTGCAAACCGGAGGGGAAAACCAGTTACCGAGCTGAAGCTTCAGCCAAAAAGCAGTTGGCGGGTGGGAAGGGTCTGTGGCAGTGTGGCCGGCTGGCCCTGTGGCAATTCCCACGGCAAGCGCTCAGCTAGCGTGATCAGCCACCCTGGGGAGGGCAGCCCAGAGAAAGCAGAGGGTCAGCTAAGCCTGGGCAGGCCCCCCTTGGCTTGTGGGGGCCCACCAGGAGGATTAGCAGGGGAAACTGCCCCAATCCACACCTGAGGCCGCTTTAGAGCG